TTCTGTAGTTGGCATCAGCTCCTTTTGTTTGTCCTGGATATCAACCATTGTGCGACGTACATATCTTAAGACCTTTAATCTAGTAGCGAGAAACTTGATTACCAGTTTCTGAATAGTAGTTGGGCTGACATCATCAAGCCGATAGGCTATTTCTCCCCGACCAATTCCAGAACCACGTAGTGATAGCGTTCACGGAGCGCGTGAGTGAGTGAGACGATTCGCACAGAATGGAGAAAAGACAGAACAGGCATGAACAGCGTTTTCTAACTCAAGCTAGACTGCACGGACCAATGAGCTCAAACTCCTAGGTGTATTAGCACAAACTCTGCGCAATATGTCACCTATGACACGGTTGGCACGCTCATTTTGACCATCGGTCTGCGGATGATCCGCTGTGGACATGTCCAGCCTAGTGCTTAGCACCTTGAATATGAAGGTCCAAAATTTGCCAGTGAAACGTGGATCACGATCAGAGACAATTGCCACAGGCAAATTGCTTTGACTAAACACACAATCGATAAACAGCTTCGCTGTACCTTCACCATCGATCGTATCCGACACAGCCGCTAAATGAACCATCTTGCTCAAATGGGTAACAAAGACCTACAGCCAGTGTTGCAGTCCGAAAATTTCGGTAGGCCAAACACAAAGTTTATACTCATGGACTCCGAACACCCAGTGGGTACAGACAAACTAGCAAGCGATGCAATTGCGTTTGCTGAAGGTTTGACCTGTTGACACGTTTCGAATGTACGCACATACGTGCTCACCCGTTTGTACAACTTGGGACACCAATGCGTCTGACTAACTGACTAAATGTCTTCTCACGACCTAGAAGATCGCTCAAAGCAGTATTATGTGCTTCAAAGATGATACGATACTTCAAGTCCTTATCATGAGGAATAAAGATGCGAGGCACAACCTCAACACCCGTGCAATAGCACAACAACCCACCATTGATGAAATATTGATGTATGCTACCACGTAAACGTGCCGACAACTTGATGTCCGAGTCGTGAAACACCTTACTTTAAGAGCATCTAGTGATGCTACACATTGCTCATCACGTGCAAATGCCGCACGAATTAAATCCATAATGGAAGACGACAGAGTCGTAACATGAGCAAGCAAATAATCGGGTCTGCGTGACAATACATCAGCCAAAAAAATTTTCTTGTCCGTCTCATACTTTACCTCGAAACTGCGTTCAGCAAAGACTTAAAGACAACGGGCCATAAGCTGTTAGAGGTGAGGCGACTGTGTCGCAGTGCGTAGCGACGCATGATATGTGGAGATTACAAAAGGCTTCGAGCCAAGTTGGTGGACTCTGAACTTGACAAGAGCATATTTCATTGCGAATAACGGGTTTGACGTGAACTGGAATGTTCTTCTTTGCAGCGTTTATATGACGAGATTCATACGCATTGACACGCTCATGTCCATCGACATCTGTCTGCAATAGTGCACAACCAATAGCAAAATCAGACGCGTCACAGACGACACTGAAAGGACACTTAAAGTCAGGTAAAGCCAACTTTATAACATGAATGAGACTGTCGTTCAATGCTTCAAAACCTTAAGCATGGACTGCGTCCCAATACCATACTGCAACCTTCTTGAGGAGGTTGCTGTCTTACCATGTCAGCATAATTTTCATTACACTTGTGCAAGTAATCAGCAAGACCGATCCATTTTATGCAAGCCAGTCAATAAATGACTTTAGCGGGATCCGCTCAAACGCCACGCTTTCGAATGAAGCACTTGAGAAAGGGAATCTTTTCAGCACCATAATAGATTTAGACTCATTTGCATTCAGCTTGTTTGTGCGTATGCACTCGAGCACTGCTCGTAAATGGTCAATGTGATTGTTCACATCTAATATACCATGTTCTCCACGGCTATAAACAAAGATGTCACCGGAATAGCTTTTTGCATATCCTCGGTGAGGTTGGAACAATTGCGTCACAAGATAATTAAAAGTAGTCGGGGCATTAGAAAGCCTTTGAGGCATGACAAGTCAATCCCTAAGCATACCGCTTATTGTGATAACCGCTGTGAGCGGAATATCGCTCGCTCGCATAAGGTATTGAAATTGTTCATTGACTAAATAGAGTGCACTGAACATGGTCGACCTACCACAGCGTTCGGAAGAACATCCTTGCTAGGGGTAGGCGTCTGTGCCGGTATAGTGGCTGCGTTAAGCTTATTGTAAGCATGCACAATTCGCCACTTGCCATTTGGCTTCCTGACAAAAACCATCGGTGTCGAGTGCGGAGACTTGCTCTCACGCACCATGCCAGATACTTTCTTTTCACGGAAGAACTCGTCAATGACGTCACATTGCTCCTTTGGTAGGGGCCATTGCTGTGTCACACAGTGTTTGGTTCCAGGAACCAGGTCAATTTCGTGACGTACACCTCGATCAGGGGGCAGACTGAAAGGTGAATTGTTACACACCACTTCTTAAATTCCTTGACCAAAGAATAAACGGATCTATAGGATCTTTTAAGATCGATGACTCACTTCGGGCACTCAGTGCTGCCTTCGTGTCTTCCAAGACAGATTCATCAAGAAGTGACGACGAGTTTAACTCGCCTTCGGATCTCATGTCCGCCTCTTTAGATAAGTCACCTGACTTTAAGAGCCAGGCCAGACTCATTGACAGACATTTCGTCTAGCTCTGTAAGAGAATTCAGTGAGGTTGAAGCCTCAAGACTTACTGACCCATCTACTTCACCTGTCACTCCATTAACGAGTGTATATAGCTGCTCGCTATAACCACTCAGTGACGTGACAGACGCCTTGCGTTTAATAACAGCAACCTGGATTCACTGTCATCTTTGTGATGAGGCTAAACGTCTTTAAAGACTGACACTTTCTCATCCCCAAGGTTGATATCATCATCATCCTCAACTTGCTCTATACAAGTGCCGGTGCCATTACCGACACCTAGTGCATCAATTTCCCCAAGATTGACACGCCCATCAACCTTAAGTTGCTCATTACCAGAGCCGATGTCATTCCCGACATCCGGGACTGCACTTTCCCAAGGTGAAAAAGTCCGTCAGCCTTCATTTGATCTATTTTTCGATCCGATGTCATTACCGAAAACGGAGACTGCACGGTTCACGAAGTAAATAACGACGTCAACCTTAATTTGATCTATTTCCGATCCGATGTCATTACCGATATCTGGTGATGAATCACTTGCAGTGATATCATTACCCAGTGGGTACTAACGTACCACTACATGCTCGTCAGATGGGCGACGCCCTTGATGGCTCCGTGTTTCACCAAAAATGTCTTAAATGACAGATTAGTGTGTCTTAATCACGGCCAACACCACTCAATGGGCGTCAACGTGCCACTCCACTCTCATCAGATGAGTTCAACCCATGATGAATTGGCTCTAGGCTAACAATGCTTTCAACATTCAGTGATTAGTTAGAACAAAGAATTTCACTCGACGGAGCAAGTGCCGTTTCCCTAACATTCATTGAGCTTGGATCGTTACTATTATTTTCGACATCGTCCAACTCAATGAGTTCAGCCATACCTATGTTTCAGCCCCTTCAATTTATCAGTACTGGTTCTAGTCAACAGCGCTTCTGCTCCCTAGCAGAAGTGGTCTTATGACTCTCCGAATCTCCACTAGAATCAGTGCGCGTCGCGCCTAAATCTCTGACCTGCAATCAATCCACGTCTGATGACGTTCAGGCCAAGCCATACCAATGATAGAAACATACCGCTCACCAAAGTCAAAAAGTGGACGTTGCCTAAAACTGTCATATTTCGAAACCTTAACGCCTCAGCTCACAAAAACTTTAGGCACAATGACCAATGTACCTGTCGCCAAGCGACAGTGAAAAACTCACTCTTTCGCGATTTCAGATCATCAGCGTACTTCTGACAACCTTCCATTTAACATCGTTGGACGTAATTTCACGAGGCCCCAGAGTCGATCAATGTCGACCAAGGCTTGTTAAAGCCTTCACCTTTTCTTTTGCAGCTAAAAATCCTGGCTTGTACTCATGCATCGTGACATTTCTCACAAAGCCACTTGGGGCTAGGTCCTTTCCTCCATCGCCTTTTAAGGTATAACAGATCCTAAATTTTCTCCAGCAGGGCACTTTGCGCCTACTTGGATTTGGCGTTTTCCCGCAACTTACCAACTTGTTGATTAGTGACGGGAGGTAGACTCGTATAAGCCTGTCTGATTCTTTTACAGGACAATTGGGCCGAAAGCGTCTGATGCTTTGCACGTAAAACATCTGTGGATGTTCATACGCTGTTCGACAGCGTAAAGCTAAGCTTCTTCGTCTCTTCCAGCAGGTCCAAGATCCTTGGGTTTTGCTCGATCCATAAGATGAGCATTGCTCGACGGGTTTGCTTGGAACCTATTAGTACAATAACGACCAGCTTTAAGGAAGCACTCTATGCTTGACGATTTTTCTAATGGAACCTCACATGTCGAGGTTTGGACACGAAACACCTTCGTTCTAGCAATGCCAGTACGAGCCCTTACATACAAATAATAACCAAGCTGTCTCAGGTTAAGGGTCAAGCTGCATAGCAGCAACGAGAGTTTGCAGTTTCTGGACGAAGCCCTTTTTACCCTGGCGGGTTGAAAGGAAGCGTGATCGCACGCAATATGCCTGATCAGGTGAAGCAAACACCCAAGATAGTTGCTGTTTTGACGTTTCCCAGGTGGCAAAAGCCTCGTCTATCGAGGTGCTGGAAGAGGTCCCACTCCTTGGCTTGCCCACTCAACTTCTATAGAGCCAGTCTCACCTTTTGCTACTCTGACCGCAGCAGGGCCTAGCTGATGGCAGCCTACACCTCATAAACCCACAAAATTTCATTTTCTACCTATTTGCCTTCAAAAGCATTGACACTTAAGACCAGAGGATGAGTCCTTGACTTAGTGTCCAGTATTGGAACATATTGATTGGGCACGGCAGATGCCAAATGTTCATAGGCCTGTTGAAAATTAACGTGGATTAAAAGTTCAAGAAGGCCTCGAGACGTGCAAGAAGTGCGTCCGGGCCTTGCGCCATTATAATAGCCACTTGCTCGTGCCCAATCAACGCCATGAGCTTCTCAAGCGTGATCTGCTGGGCCTCTGAGAGGTTCATGGCTGTTTCCATCCTCGTAGAGGATTTAGTCTGTGAATACTGAGATGTAGATTGACTACGAGTGCTGCTAAGTGTAGCGGAGCTACTTAGCGATCCTTAACAGTGGAAGTCTTAGACTCAAAGAGTCTCGTAGTTATAACACACTAACAATGAAGTACATTCGTTTAAGCGTACAAACTTAACAATCCCGTTTTCATAGGCTTTACGATTCACATAATTACACACTAACTCGAGACTACTGGTTAAACAATAGTAAACACCTTGATAAGGATAATGCTCTTAACAACACACTACGCCTTTACTAGTCGCTTGTGTTGAACGATCCAAAAGGGTAACTGAACTTTATTTATGTTTAATTACGATAATATGAACATGAAACCTTGTCCGACTGTCTATTACATTGCGATACTATGACATAAATATTATCTCATATACTAACCGATAAGGTGCGGTATTACCGTAAGCACAAGGTACTAAGACTGTACCACTCAGATCCACCTATCTTTGCTTGGTGCGGACAGACACCAAAACCGGTTCAATAACCGCCGTTGTTCCCGTTACAACGGAATCTTATTCGCGTTTTAAATGATAAGAGGACTTCAGATGTTCTTTACTGTTCTATAGTTTATACGTGTGTAATTTCAATGTCGACACTTGTGTACGAAACACTGGAAGAATTTTACAAAGATATTTATGCGACGAACGAAGTGCCGTATCGGTACATTCTATTCAAACTTCTTGCATATGAAGGAGGCGCGAGGGTCTGACGAAAATAGAAAGCATTGCTTTTGAGACGCCTGTAGGATTGTTTATCACGATTTTCGATGTGCAGCGAATGATCAAAACTTCCGTGAGCAACTACAAGTTGCTGCCTAAACCAGTAAAGATCAAGGTAATGGGAAAGGGTGATTTAAAAATCAAGAGAATACATGGAAACTAGTATGACTAAAGAAAATGTGGTGGCCGTAGTTGTAGACTGAACAATTTTTATATTCTGTAAGTTATCAACTGTAGTAACAGATAATGAACAAGGCTTGGACACAGCTGAGAAGGATTAATTAGACTTAGATACATCTACCTTCGCACACACTTCGCATGTACTTATTAAGTATGCTTTACGTAATAACCTGTAATCGCCTGTGGTCGAAAGATGATTCAAAGTGACTAAGTGATTTCAAGCAACATCACGAAACGAAAAGTCTTGTAGAACCGCATGAACACAAGAAGCGTAAAGCCAAAGATACGCGAAATATTCTGGCTAATCCGGATGGGTCGCACTCCAGCATTGTAAGCTATTTCCAATGCGATTCTAGACTTTACACCCTTGAATTTGATGTTTGTCAAGCAATACGTAAGCATAACACCTGCTTATGAAATAAGACCATTCTGTATTGTTGAATCAGACGAGACCCAACACACACTTTTGCACGTGCTTAAATCTCTAATATGGAATGGTAAACATCATCGATAAATTTATAGCGAAGTAAAAACACGGAGAGGTGCTCTTTATATGATAAATTCCATCCGAAAAATGTGCCATTCACGAACGCTTTCGGTCGACAGGAAGGACGATAGGGACAGAGTAGAGGTTCACATTAAAAAAATGGAAAATTTCAGCGAAGTCACTTTGATACAAGCTCAATTCTTGTCTTATAATAATGCGTAAAGAAGAAGCATCATTTTTTAAAACCTTGTATCATCAACATGAGCCAGAGCATCACCTCGAAACATTGTACGCGCGCAAAGGACCTTTTTTAAAGCTTTTAGACGAAAACATAAGTTTTCACGATCCTAAGTATAATAATTTATTAGACATTTCTAGAGCCAAAGTGAAGAGTTTTCGTCGCTAAGGTATGGCGTCATCTTGAAACCCTTTTCTGAAATCGGAAGTCAGGTGACGTAAGATAGCCGAATATAATTTTTTTTTGTGACATCTTTCCGTAACGATTAGGAACTATGTAAGCTGCCAAAAAGAGACTAACTCACATCCTCATAATCCGCATCAGCCTAGCGTCGCGATCGTTAACACACAAAGTATAATTTTACAGAATAAGAAAGCAAATATCTCAATAGCAACAGCAAATTCACAGAACTGACTGAGCAATTAAACAAGATTGGGTACAAAATACTACCTGGCGCGGAAAATATAGACTTCCTTGTCTTTAAACGTGCAAAATCAAATTTGAGGATGTAGTCACGAGCTGTTTTCTCATGTAAATATATCTGTATGCTAATTTAAGAACCCTTCATTTATAACGTAATAGCTTATTAATCGCTCTGTGTTTTGTTAGAGCAAATGCAATTGAATTTAAAAACTCCGCATTACATTTTTTCATTTGTTTTTGTAGCCTGTCCTATTTGACAAATATTACTTAGTGTCGCTATCAAAATCGATCAGTTTTCACTGGACATCTAATAGCAACTTTACCTCGAATACTTTAAATGATTAAACACAATTGCTTCGCTTATTTGCAATTTGCTCACGCACCAAAAATGATTTAATTTTTCTTGCGGGATGCTTTCATTTAAACAGGCGTTGGGTACCAGCTATTGCCAAATTATTACAAAATCAGGACTCATAAGAAACTACCTCCTCGCAAATTTCTTTTCATGAGTAGCAGCATTCAAGGAATATTGGTGAAATTTGCTGCTTCCACGACTGGAGAAGAACGCTCAATTCTAAAGCACTTTCAATTTCAGAGGAGACAACTAGTCGTCAGGAAGTAACATAGAGCACTTTAGTCGTTAGAGAACTTACACATGCATTTAGCTACTCCTTTGTTGTGCTTCTACAAAGGTCATACCTGAGTCGTTTCTTTCTTCATATAACCGACTGCCAAAGTTTGACTTTCTGTGTCTGTTTTAAATGACTACATTAAAACGTGATCACGAAGTTTAAACAAACACAAAATGCACATCATCAACACTTCTCCTCGACTAGAAGTCTTCAACGTTTGTCTTTGCCACGAGAAACTGAAACTTGTTGAATAAGATTGATTTTGTCAGAAAATCGGCGAGTTGTGATTTTTTTTTTTTTTTTTTTTTTTTTTTTTATTATATTCCAGCCGAATGACCTTAGCCTTGACTTGGCAACGCACAATTTGACTTCGAATATCAATGTACTTCGCTTGACATTGTACCCTTCGTGCTTCGCAATAGCAATCGCACTCTAGCTGTCTTCATAAACAACTTATGGAATGTCAACCTTGACCTTCATCTCCACCAATAAGCTCTTTGTCTACAAAATCTCTTAAATGCACAGCGAAAGTACCACATACTCAGCTTCGGCAGTACTTAATGAATCACTGATTTGAAGCTTCGACTTGAAAATGACTGGAGACCCATTGATCATCACCATGACTCCAGATGTCGAATGTCGGCTATACTTGTCACTCCCCAATCTGCATCACTAAATGCACTCAGCTTTAGGTCACCAGGCTTGCTTTAATAGCAATTTCCGTTGTTTGCGGTCGAATATAGGTAAAGCAGCACATGAATGGCTGCGTTCCAGTGCTCTCCACTTGGTTTTTCCAAATGACAACTCAGTCGACCAACGGCAAATGCAAAATCGAATATTGTGCCTGTCGTCACATAAAGTAGTAATCATACCAGAGATCGATACGGTCGATTTGCCATGTTCGGGTCATTGGCCTCGCACTTTACCATGACTTGAACTTCTACGCTAGGGTTGTTAACCACTTTAGCCCCGAATTAATTATTATTTTCGGACCAGTTGTTCAATGCACGCACGTTGGCTGATCTTGAGCTTCTTTCATGCTGTGCATACCACACCTCAATGTCGAGGACGAACTATAAATTGCCTAGCGTCTTTATCGTGAACTGGCTTTCAAGATCACCACCAATTTTGTCAAATAAATCAGCAAAAGTAACTCCAATCAGAATATCGTCAGCACACAGCGTCACGTAAATCTACGAAAATTTCTCATCGTGACGAACGAAAACAGACGTTTCCGAAACACAAGGCACAAATCCCATTTTCCAAGACACGTTCGAAATTGTCTTAAACCATGTTGCAGCAGCCTGTTTATATCCATACAGACGTCTGTTGGACTTTAAAACTTCAATCGGGTCCATGTTTACACCTTTAGTTGTAGCAATTTATGGATCTTCTTCTAAAACTCCTTTAGGAAGGTTGTGTCAATATCATGTCGGCGGATAAGCATTTCAAAATTACAACATACGGCAAGAAATACACGAATAGAGTTGGTATTTGCCACCGGTGAACAAATCTCAAAATAATCCACACCACGATTTGACGATATATTAAGGCAACAAGCTTGCCTTGAATCGATTTAATTTTTCATGTTCATTTTGCTTTACGGCGAACATCCACTTGGTTCCGATCACCTTGTGACCGGGAGTTTTGGTCCTTACACTCCATATATTCTTCTGTTTGAGTGCATGTAATTCGTTTCGGATCGCATCTTTACACACGTTGGTTTAAGGAGAACGAATCGCATCTTGATATGTTGATGGGGCCTCCGGAGCCGCATTTGCTTGTTCATACACGATGCAATATCGTTTTGGAGATCGTTGTGGTTGGGCGTCACTTAGTGCAGTTATAATAGCTTTACAATGATTCACTGTAACTAAAGCCTGGGAATTCTGACTGGGTCTCAACGCATCCGGTGTATTGTGTCAGCCATGACGAGATGTAACCAAATCCAAGCAATCGATGATATGGCACAATCCATCTCCAGGAACAATGGTCGTCTCTGTTTCAAAATCAATATCACATGGCTCCGCGTAAACGACGTCTGTACCGAAAGCGGGATCTGGACAAGCAGCGATATTTGGGGTTGGAATCCCAAAATCCAATACGCTAGGGATAAAATTGGACGAATGCCTATTTGATCCACTTCCATAGTTTCATTTCCGTTCCTAATTGGTGTGTAGGATAAGTGTACATTAACTTCATCATCGGAATTGTCGCAATTCACATTTTGTGCGACATCTTGACCAGTAACAACTTTCACAAATCTGGACTGAGG